CTCTGATATGTCCCCAGCATCTGTGCCTGGCACGTAGTAGACTCCCAGTAAGCACCTGTGAAGTGACTGTTGAATAAATAGGATTTTTTTCCCCAGGAACAAGATGCTGTCACCAGCGGTGTGCTGGAGCTGGCTCACACTACTCTCAAGAGCCAAGGCCTTAATTTTCATAAATTTTGTGAGCCAGTTGTTAAACACGGGTGTTATTAAAAATTAAACTATTTAAATTTATAAGGAAATAAATTATATTAAGAACACAGGTGGGGGCTTCCATGGTGGCACAATAGCTAAGAATCCACCTACCAATGCAGGGGACATGGGTTCGAGTCCTGGTCCGGGAAGATCCCACATGCCCTGGAGCAACTAAGCCCGTGCGCCACAACTGCTGAGCCTGCGCTCTAGAGCCTGTGCTCTGCAACAAGAGAAGCCACCGCAATGAGAGTCTGCGCACCGCAAGGAGAGAGTAGCGCCCGCTCGCCGCAATTAAGAGAGAGCCCGCGTGCAGCAAAGAAGACCCAACACAGCCAAAAATAAATAAATAAAAAGAATACAGGTAATAAATGCTTAAAACTCGTTTCTTCCTAATGATTTCACTCCATTTGATGCTTACCATGTTCTTGGGGTGATTCACTTCTATTGTACCTGATGGTGGAAATGTTGGACAATGGTGGCTGCTGTGCCTCTTGTCCCAATTCCTTGTTCAGTGACTTCCTGCTGGCAGCTTGAAATCGGCCATGGTGGGAGTATTCACACCACAGAAATTGGTAAACACTGCAAATCACGTCTTGCTTAACTGTTTTGTTGATTGTCTAGACTTAAGAAAGTGATGGAAAAAAATGTTAATGATGCAGATTAAGTTTAAAAGTGTGTGCTGTTTGCAGCCATTACAAAAAATTGAGGAAATACCTTCTGATATTAAAAGACTCTTATATCTGATTCAGTGAAGAAGTCTCACATCATTATGAACCAGTGACGTTTGACTTTGTTGTTTCACTTTCATTTTACTGGTTGGCTTCAATGGCAACTAACAATCATATCCGAACTACACTCATTCATCAATGGCAAGCATAGGTTGGCCACTGATCAAAGAGTTTGGCAAAAAAAAAATCAATGACAGCATTCTGTGAATCAACTGGTTATACAGAGTTTACAGTAAAGAAGATTGTATATTTTATTATAATTTGTAAATTCTATGATACACATCTTTTATATCAGTAAAATTATATGCCACCTGACCTCCACTCCCCTGGGTGCTACTGCTAAACATTTATCAGCACCTCACACAGAGACCAGCCCAGAGGAGGCATTTAGATTATTGTAAATAAATGAAATATATTTAGTAAAATGGGGCTGAGGGGACTAATTCAACTCTGTATGTAGCCCTAAAGAAGGCCAGGAGATGGGAGGGGAAACCCAGGCCTGGGACAGGCGATGGTGAGAGCTGGGGTCTTGGGATGCCACGAGAGGACCCTGTGTGGGCGTGGGGGCACAAGGAGACCCCTGTGGAGTGTAATGAAGGAAGGCCTGTGGATGGTGAACCAAGGCCTTTCAGGACAGCACCCCTGTAGCTTCTCCTCCCAGGACAAGATGCTCCCTCTTGTAGGCTGCACAGGATGCCAGACCCCCTAAGTCATTGTCCTAAAGGCAGATGGCCCCAGGCCCCCAGACAAAGGCCCTGTTATCCTCAGGATTGCCCCCATGCTGCTCTCTCTGTCCTCCAAGCTTGTTAGGGGACCTTGTGTCCTAGGACTGATCAGGTTCCCATTCCCGGCCTCTTTATCTGCTAAACCCAAGGAGGGGCTGGTCCAACTTCAACCCTGACCCTCCTCTTGCTGGTGGGAAAGAATTATCCTTTTGTTTTGTTTTATAAGTATGTTTGCATAAAGTATGCTTCAGATTGGTGGGAGGGTCAGAGAAGGCCTCAGAGAACAAGTCACATGTGAATTATGACTTGTATGTTGAGAAGGAGACACAGCCATGTAAAGATGGGGTGTGGGGTGCAGGTTGTTCCTGGGAGAGGGGGCAGCAGGTACAAAGGCCCTGAGACAGGCACAGACTGGGAGTGTTTGAGGACCAGAAGGAAGGCAGGACACGGGGACACTGCGGGCTGGGGGATCAGGGTGGGGGAGCAGATTGGAGAACGATGAAGCCTGTTTGCCTTAGTGGCTGTCATGAGGAGTTTGGACTTGATTCTAATTGTATGGAAGTCCTTTGGAGGTTTTAAGCAGGGAAGCGGGGGGAACTATTATGTGCCGGCAGATAACCAGGTCAGGCCTAGACCCTGGGGACACAAGGCAAGTTTGCAGGCCTTGAGAAATAGCTGCAGGATTAGCGTTCCTGGAGGCCCATTCTCCACCTGGTCACCTTTTAAGAAGCGTCTCAGAACTACCATCTCTCTCCCTTGTAAGCAGCATGGATTTGAAGACTCAAATGCCAAAAATAGAGGGTAGGGCTAGAGGCACAGTCTCCAGGAGCCAGGCTGCATAGGTCTGCATGGGGGTGGGGTATTTACTCCCCTTGTGACCTTGAGCAACTGATTCATCGTCCTGTGCCTGTTTCCCCATCCTGAAAAGGAGGCTAATGATAAAACAGTTGGTAGTCATGGAGGTTAGCTGGATCAATAGGCAGAGCTTTGCACAGCACCTGCCAGGCGGAAGGCACAAGTGTAGCTATTATTGTTATTTTTATTGTTTTTATGATTGCTGTCAAGACAGGGAGGAACCCAGGCAACCAAGCCCGGGTCAGAACCCCAGCTCAGGACAAGGAAGCCTGGGGCCATGGAAGCTGATTACGTTGACTGGTAGGTGGGTGAGGCCAAAGCTGCACAGCTCGCTGCTCTCCACAGAAGCAGATGTTATGAGCTCCAGAAGCCTCACATTCAGGGCCCATGGAGCCCCTGGAACCCCCGGGTCCTCAGGGCTTGGGGGCCCTCAGTCCCCGCTGGTCTCGATGGGCAACCCGGGTACAGGCAGGAGGCTTTTGTTCTCAGTGCGGGTTGACCCCTTAACTGGATCTGTGTGGCCCTAGGAAGTCCTCTGTGCAGGGAAACAAGCTGTCTTGGCCCAGTGGGCAGAGGCACAGCCGAGCTGGGACTCTGTCGCAGGTGTGGAGGGTGGGCTCTCTGAGAATCGGAGTCAAGATCCCGGCCTCTGTGTCGTCTATTTTGGGTCTTCGGATCACTGCGTGTGAAGAGCATCTTTGAACACCAAGCCCAGGGCCAGCCTTGGACACTTGGGGGTAGCTTGCGTGGCTCAGCTGGGCAGGGCTGGGCTAATGCCCCCCCCACCCCTGGCTGGAAGAGCAAAGGAAGGGGCTGGGAGGCCACGAGAGGGGGACCAGGGGGTCACCCACCTCCAGGGGAGCCACTTGCTGGCTTGTGTGTGGGACTGGGGTCCCACTGGGTTATGTGCCTGCGATGGCAGCATGTCAGGACTGTGCCAGGCAGCTCATTTTGAGAGGTGGCGTCCTATCCCCCACTCACAGACGAGGACGGTTCTAACTGGTTATGCAGCGGCAGCGGGGCTGGGGCTCTGTCCACGGTGGCCCCGCCCCAGCAGGAAGCTGTGCTCCAAGGGCCTTTTCCATTTCCTGGTCATGACCAGGCCCTGGGTCTTCACACCTGGTGACCAGCCTTCAGGAGGTCCTGGGGTTGTGGTGAGGATTGCAGTGAATTAAACGGACACAAGTCTCCATTAACACAGAGTTTATCATTTTAGAAGGTGGACCCGGGAGGGGTAGTGGGACCTGAGGACTGGCCGAAGGTAGCTCTGGTGACTTGGGCCCACCAAGTGTTGGGCTGGGTGCCTGGTGAACACACTCTTACCTTATCTACGTGACGTGGTCACTATTACCCTCAGCTCTGTGGGGAAACTGAGGCAAAGAGAGTGGAATGATATGCAAGAGAGGTGAGTATGCTTTGCACATGGGATGGACGTGAACTTGTGGTGGGGGGCAAGGAACGGGTGAATAGCAGCTCCCCCTTCCAGATATGTCGACCTGACACCTCAGAATATGGTTTTCTTTGGAATAGGAGTCTTTGGAGTTGTAATTAAGGCAAGGATCCTGAGGTGAGATCATTCTGGATTAGAGTGAAATACAAGAAGTCTCTTAGAAGAGACTGAAAAGGAGAAGATACACAAAGACGTTCTCCTTACGTCTGGGGAAGAAGCCACGTGATGACAGAGCCACAAGCCAAGGTATGCCTGTGACTGCCGGAAGCTGGAGAAAGTGAGGAGTGGTCCCCCCCAGACCTTCAGGCAGAGCACAGCCCTGCCCACACCTTGAATTTTGACTCTGGTGTCTAGAGCTGTGAGAGAATAAACTGCTTAAAAGCCCCCCAGTTTGGGGTGGAGACAGGATTTGAGCCTGGGGTGTCTGCCACAGAGCCTCGTTTCTCCATCACCCTGCTGCCCAGGCTGGATCCTGGCATGAGTGTCCCTTGTCCTTTTCTCTTTGGTAGAGAGACAAGGGCCACTAGTCTGTCTGAGCACCTGCTGTGGGCCGGGTGCTGGGGAACATCTTCTCACTCAGTTGTCATGCCCAGACTGTCAGCTCCTTTATTATCCATTTTACAGGAGGGGGCCCTGGTCTGTCCCTGAAAATGTGAGGGGACTTGCAGAGGAGGGGCTCTGAACCTGAGAGCTGTCCTTTGCTTCTGCCAAAATTCCCCCGAATGGGCAAGATATGATGAGTGTCACAAAGTAGACAGCATGATGCTGTTACAACCCCATAGTTCCCCCCTAAACACACGTGCCCAGAGAAAGGTCTGGAAAGGTATAACTCTTGGGGTTGTTCTCAGTCCTTCCCTTCCCACTGGCTCCTGCCCTGGGTCCCACTCTCATCTCCAAATGTCTGGGTTATGGGAAGTGCTGTAGCTCTGGCCTCTCTGCTTCTTTTCTTCCCTCCCAAACATACCTCAAATTCCCATTTCATTACTCATTCTTGCCTGAATTGCCCCATTCCTCTCACTGGCGCACCAGAGGCTTTCTCCTAGCACCCACCTGCTGTCCAGCCCTTCCTCTTCAGCCCCATCTGTCACCCTGCTCTCCTTGGGGGAGCCCATCGCAGATGGGCAGTCTTCCCTCACTTCCTTTCAGGTCCTGGCCTGCTGATGCCTTGCTCCTTCCCTTTTGGGGCAAGCAGAGAGGGGACAAACATTTACCAAGCACTCCCGTAACTCCCTTAATGCCAGGCCTGGCGTGAGACCCTTCACTCACATGCTGGCCCCTCCTGAAAGCCCTGATGTTTAATCATATCCCCATTTCATAGATGAGAAAACTGAGGCTCAGATGCTGACTAAATGGCTTCACACGGCTTCTATGTGCCAGAGTTGGGATTGCAAACACTCATCCAAGTCTGTGCTCCTGATGGGTGCCTACCGTGTACTAGGCAGTCAGACACAATACTGCCACTGGGACGCCTGCTCTGCAAACTGCCCCCTCCCCAAGATGGGGCCATGCAGACCCTGTGCTCTCTCTGTTGGCCCTCACATCTGTAGCTCTGTGTTGACACTTCAGCACATGGTGTGGGACGGTGACGTAACACTTTCATGTCTGTGCACACCCAGGCCTTATCTCCCTGCTCGACTATAAATTTGGGGCTGGTGGGACATGCCTGCATTTCCTCAGCATCTCCTGTGTCCCTAGCAGGCACTCAGGCACGCATGTGGCAATTCATTTTGAAGGAATGCACACCACGTGAAGTAAACTGTGACGTTGACCTCTAGGACGGAATTTCAGGCCCAAATGCCTTTACAGGGCATCGTGGTACTGGGTGTTGAGAACCTTACGAAACTCCTCATTTCTGGTCCCCCCAGCGGGCAGGGTAGGACTGGAGGAGCCCACACTCAGCGTCACTCAGCAGGTAGCCAGGCTGGGAACCGAAGGCTGGCTTTTCTGTGAGAGTCAGGAGGGCCACTGGACTTTTCTATTTATCGCGAGGGTCTAGGGCAGCGCTGTTCAACAGAAATGTCATAGGAGCCACGTCTGTAATTTTAAGTTTTCTGGTGGTCATGTGAAAAAAGTAAGAGACAGGTAAAATTTATTTTAATAAGGTATTTTTTTAGCCCAGTATATCCAAAATATTATTTCAACATGCGGTCAGCACAAAAGTTATTAATGAAATATTTGACCTTACATCCGTTGCTGTTCTCAGTCTGGGAAATTGGGCGTGTTTTTTGCAGTTTGAATGCCTCTCCACTGGCACTCGCTCAAAGGCCACATGTGGCTTGTGGCCCCATACTGGACAGTGAGCTTGGGGCTGGATGTGGTAACTCCCAAATGCCAGCTGAGCAAACCTGTTTGAGCCTTATGATTTGTCCCTGGTTTATGTCCCTCTAGACCCTATGGGCCTGAGGCAGCACCAGTGGCTGGACCCAGTGTCAAGGGTCGTGTGGTCATTTGTGTCAGTGTGGTCAGGCCTGGCATCAGGCTTGGTGAGTGGGCTTCCTCTGGACCAAAGCAAGTGCCGACCAAGAGTGCTATGAGGAATCGAAAAAGAAATGATACAAATGAACTTATTTACAAAACAGAAACAGACTCACAGACTTAGAGAATGAACTTACAGTTACCCGGGCGGGGGGAGAGTGGGGGGAAGGGACAGTTAGGGAGTTTGGGATTGACATGTACACCCTGCTATATTTAAAATGGATAACTGGGGCTTCCCTGGTGGCGCAGTGGTTAAGAATTCACCTGCCAATGCAGGGGACACGGGTTTGAGCCCTGGTCTGGGAAGATCCCACATGCCACGGAGCAACTAAGCCCGTGCGCCACAACTACTGAGCCTGCGCTCTAGAGCCCGTGCTCTTCAACAAGAGAAGCCACTGCAATGAGAAGCCCGTGCACTGCAACGGAGAGTAGCCCCCACTCACTGCAACTAGAGAAAGCTGTGCGCAGCGACGAAGACACAACGCAGCCAAAAATAAATAAATAAAATAAATAAATTTATTGAAAAAATAATAATAAATAAATAGATCCTTAAAAAAATAAAAATAAAAAAAATAAAATGGATAACCAACAAGGACCTACTGTATAGCACAGGAAACTCTGCTCAAAGTTATGTGGAAAACTGGAGGGGTGGGGAGTTTGGGGGAGAATGGATACATGTATACATATGGCTGAGTCTGTGCACATGAAACTATCACAACACTGTTAATCGGCTATACTCCAATATAAAATAAAAAGTTTAAAAAAAGAGTGTTGCCTCCAGCCCACCTCCCCCTGGAGGCCCACCCAGGTTGATTTAGAAAATGAGATCAGAGTCAGGGTGGATGGTGGCCTTTGCAGACACCTGTGGGGCTGGACGTTCACATCAATAATGTGTCCCCTGCACACCTGGCTCACTCCAAAGCCTTCCTCCCAGGACACAGCAGTTTTTCAATGGCCTACGAGGCTGGCTGGCAGGGTGGCAGGGGACAGTTGGAGCTTGGGTTTCTTTGGGGAAGGGTTTCTTCTTCCTGGGTGCTGGTCTGAGCTTCTGTTACAGGCAGGAAGCTGCTGATGTCTGTGGCACAGGGTGCACCTCCGAGGTGTCTGTGGGATGCTGCCTGGAGCGGACCCAAGAGGGGCCGTGAGCATCTGCTTATCATTTAAGTGGATGCTGTTTGCTGGCAGCTGAAGGTAATTATGGGGCTGTGTCCTTGAGGATGGTTCTGCGCATGTGTCTCCTGAAGGGATTGTGGCCGTCAGCTGCTCAGCGAGCTGTGAATCTCTGGGGCTCTGGGCAGTGCCTCCATTCGCTGCATCGGGATGCCTGGGATAAAAATGCCAAATCTGTTTGAGATGGAGACATTTCCCCTTCTCAGGGCTGGTGCCATCAGTAGGTGGTCCTGGTGGCACTGACCTCTGGCCTCCAGTTACAGACTTTGCCCCCCAGGATGTCTGTCCCCAGCAGCCTCTGTCTGTCCTCATCCCTTAGGCCTCTCTCCATGGTTTCTCTATCCTCTGTCCTCCTCTCTGCCTTCTACTCATGAGCTCCGGTCTCCTCTGATTCTTTCCACTCTCTCCCTTTTCAGGTACTCTTCTGGCTGTGCCTGTGTGCCTCATTCAGGTCCTCCTATTTTGTTGCCAGGGCAGTCACAGTACTGCATTTAATAGTGTCCTCCCACCCCTCCACCAATTTCATTTCTATCTGGAACTTCAGAATGGGAACTTGTTTGGAAAGAGGGTCTTTGCAAATGCAATCAACTTAAAATGAGGTTGTTAGGGTGGGTCCTAACCCACTATGACTGGTTTCCTTAAACGAAGAGGGAAATTTGGACACAGAGACACAGATATACTGGGGAGAAAGCCACACGAAGACAGAGATAGATATTGGAGTGATGCATTTAGAAGTCAAGGACGCCAATGTTTGCTGGTAGCCACCAGAAGCTGAAAGAGGCAGGAAGGGTCCTCCCCTAGACCTTCAGAGGGAGCCTGGCCCTGCTGACACCTTGATTTTGCACTTCTGGCCCCCAGAACTGTGAGAGAAGCTGGACTCCAGTGAGTGGTCCTTTGTTACAGCAGTCCCAGGACACTCACCCAGGCCTTTTTGCTGGGCTGGACCCCAGAACAATAGGAGAATCCCTCTGGCCAACCCTACTCTCGGTCTGCTAGGCTCCAATCCTCAGCAGGCTGTCCCTCACATCCAGCTCTGTCTGCAGAAGCCCTGAGCTAACACGCATTTTCAGGGATAATCACTTCAGAAATCCAAAGGATTTCTTTCAGCTCACCAGACGCTGACCACAGCCAAGCCGCAACCCCACACTTGACAAGTGATGCAATTAATGCCTTGACAGTGTTTTCGGGAGATTAACTGGGAGCAGAGGGTGGGGTGGTTATTGCAACAGTGTGGACTAAAGCCGTCCCTGCCTGAACCAGGTGATGGTGTGGGTAGAGGTAACAGACCTTGGGAACAATACTGGCAGAATGGGGCAACACCGGCAGAGCAGGGAGGTCACCAAGAAGGCACGTGGTCTTGTGTAGGTGGAGCTGAAGTGACCGGGTAGCCAGTAGTAGCCAGCGAGGAGGGCTGTGTGGCGGGATGGTTAGGAACCTTCTGGGCCAGAGTCTTGGCTCTGCCCCGACCACGGGTGGGATCCCTGACTCCAGGCTCCTTTTCTGTGAAATAGATGGGATGGGACCCACCTCCCAGGGATCTGGGAGAGTGAGAAATGGGAGGCTGGTAAGCCCTTAGAGCGCTGTATTGCTGCTCTGTGCTACTGTCAGAATTACCGAACGGGTTGAAGCTCTAGACTGGGTCACTCTGCAAAAAGCAAGGAAAGAAGAGAAGCTGATGGCTGCTGTCTGGCACGGTGGGGGGGCTGTTGGAGGTTGGGCAGTCGGCGTAGAGATGGACTCAGGTCAGGCAGGACGGGTCCGACGCACATACGTGCGCACACACACACACACACACACACACGTGCATACAGGCTGCAAGCTCGGCCACTGACCACGTCAGGGCAGGCTGTCAGTTAAGAGAAGGTGAAGGGGGCTTCCCTGGTGGCGCAGTGGTTAAGAATCCTCCTGCCAATGCAGGGGACACAGGTTCGAGCCCTAGTCCGGGAAGATCCCACATGCCGTGGAGCAGCTAAGCCCGTGCGCCACGACTACTGAGCCTGCGCTCTAGAGGCTGCGAGCCACAACTACAGAAGCCCATGCGCCTAGAGCCCGTGCTCCGCAACAAGAGAAGCCACTGCAATGAGAAGCCCTCGCACCGCAACAAAGAGTAGCCCCCTCTCGCCGCAACTAGAGAAAGGCTGCACACGGCAAAAATAAGGCCAACACAGCCAAAAATAAATAAAGAAAAAATAAAATAAAGAAAAAAGGGAGAGAGAGAGAAGGTGAAGGAAGGGCTGCGGCTGGAGGGGCCAGCAGGGGCCAAACAAAGGTATGTGTGTTTCATGGTGGGAGAGAGGGTGGGGGTAGGAGTGGAAGAAGCCTTGATGATCAGGGGAAGGGGGTGCTGAGAGTACGGGTGGGGTCCACCTGGGAGATGAGGAGGGTGGCCAATCCAGAGGCTGGTGGGAAGGGGAGAGGATGAGGCCAGACGTTCTAGAGCGCCGGGAGGGGAGGGTGTGGAGGGGAG